CTACAGGATTGGGTGCCACCACACGGAATCGAAGGGCGTTGGAAAAACTCTCGCCCTTGGAATGGAAGGGCGTTGAGTACCTGAAGAAGACGGAATATCTAAGTGTGTCACCTGACCTAAACCCCCTCAATTACCCGGTTCGGGCGGAGCTCAACAGGGTGGTCTACAGTGGCGGAGAAATCAACGATCTCGCTGAACTCAGGCACCCACTCACGGTCGCGTGGCAGAATCTCGATGGCGCTCGTCCAGAAGGCTGTGGCGGAGTGTCATGATAGTGTACTCTTGAATATGGTGGTGGAAATGTCCAATCAGAATTTGATAAAGTGTAACTTATAGCGCCTTGAAAGTCAAGAAAAAAGTGTATTTTTTGCCCCCCCCCCTGTAGCTCTCAATCTAGCGTCTGCCAGCGTCTGCCATCGTCTACCCACGTCTGCCAGCGTCTCGACGGCTAGGAAAGCATAGGTATCAATCTGGCGTTTGCCAGCGTCCACCAGCTTCTACCACCGTTCACCAGCGACCGGAAGTAAAGAGCATGGGGAAGTAGGTGGGTAGCAAAAGCTGGATTAGGTGTCGTGCAGCCGTACCGCACAACTGCTAAAAAACACAATTATGCAATTCAATGTACAGTGTGGCTGCACACGCCGCAATTTCACGACCCCTAATCCAGCTGTTTGCTACCTCCTACTTTCCCATACTCTCTGCTCCCGGTCGCTGGTGAACGCTGGCAGACGCTGGCAGACGCTAGATCGACATCTCTACTTTCCTGTTCGCTGAGGCTGCCGGACACTCGGAACGCTAGTGGGCGCTCTGGTGGTTGCTGAATGAGTATGAACGCGCAGCCTTTTGTAAATACGGCTTCTTTCGCCGCGCAGAACGCCAGCTAGTGATACTTTCGCGCAGTAGTATTTCAGGTGCATTGCTGCTATACGAACAGGCGAAACCAACCCAAACTTTAACCTCCTTACCCTTCTCCAGCGGCCCAGGATTGCTCGCTCCTTAGCCGGAGTTGTGGGCTCAGGCTGAGTAAAAGAAAGGGAGTTGTGGGCTCAGGCTGACTTAAAAGAAAGAGAGTTGTGGGCTCAGGCTGAGTAAAAGAAAGGGAGGGCGCAGTTTGTCGACGGGGGGGGCATTCTGCTTTCCATAGATGTGCCGACCCATCTAGGTAGCCTTTTCTCGAGTTGACACGTTTAGGATGGTGGCTAGACGATCTTGCTCCAGCTTCACAAGCGTTCACAAGTTTTACCAGAGCGAGATTTGTAAACCGGATGTTCGTACAAAATGCCCCCCCCGTCGACAAACAGCGCCGAAAGGGAGTTTCTTCGATGTGGTAGACCTGTACGCTGCGCTGTTCACAGCTCTGATATGAACAGCAGTGCACGATTTTGCGAACTAGGACCAAATGGGGAGAAAAGTAACCTTCAGAAGCTGCGGATCGACAATGTACTTCATGGCACGACCGTACTCACAGAGTGCTTCGGCTACATAAATGTACTGTATTTCTACCTGCACACTGTGCGTTCGCTGGTCTGAAAAGAACTGAATTTGAGAGTAGCCCGGATACTGACTGAGAACAAACTGTACGCGCCTCCGAGGAAGACCCTTGCCGTGTGCTAGGAGGGCATGGCAAGGATTGTCATTGGAGGGTTGGCTGTTGTGGATTAGTGGTACTCCAATCGGTCAAAAGTGCGCCAAAAAAGAAGGGGGGGGGGGTAAAAGGTTCTGATAGCTTTATGTTGTTTCCGTCTCCACCCCGCTTGCTCGTGGGCTCATGGTGCAGCACCGTGTCGACACCGAAGTCCCTCTGCAAACATATAGATACTGAGCTCGTCAGGGAGGCTGGGTTTGAATAGCAGGTACCAGAAGTCTCAAGCTATTACTGTCACACACAAAGCCTCAGCTAGTCACTGTCATTGCCTCGCCCTGCATAAATGGGCTGGAAGACAGGGTGCGACCCATCTCCTTGACAAGCCGCCAAGCTCTCAGCTGAACAAGGAAGTGCCTGCCAGCCAGTAAAGGACAGAGGACAAGCAACGGAGAGGAGGCCAGCAGGTGAGACTTCGCTAAGTCAGACATCGGCCTGGCCGTGCCAAGCGTCGCTGTCTACGATCTTCCGCTATCGGGCAGGAGGCAAAGAGGCGCTAGCTGCCTCTATCCTCCGGCCTCATTTCTGCGCACTGTTGAGCGACGACAGTAGCACACTTCTACCCTTTCTCCTTGTACTTGGCCATTACCAGGGTCCCAGGTGGTGAGTACAGTTTGCCTCTGAAATGTTCATAACTCTTACCTCTCAAGCGCCTACAACATTCGAGAAGATTCAGCTGGCCACCGGCTAGGAGGCGTTGAAGTCCCATTTCAATGGCAACCTGAGAAAACTCCGTGTATTTTCTGATATTCCCCGAAGCTACTTGTCGTTTGCCCCGAACTGTGTTGAGCCTCACATGAAAGTTTAGTTGATGGCGTGCCACTTAAGAGTCCATGCAAGCAGACCTTTTTTACTTTTGGCAAGGTCCGATACGCATGACTCTGTTTGAGGTGTACTATTCAGTCATCTACGAGTTCTTACTGACTATTTATACCATTTCCACTCTGAAATACACGGTTTTCAACCCAAATTCACCTGTTTTCAAACCAAATTCACCCCTTTTCAAACCAAATTCACCCACCTTCCGAATCGAATTCACCACACTTATTAGGCCGCGCAATTCATCACCAAATCACGCGCTGACACTACTGCGGGCCTGCTCCCCTTCGCTCACGCCCCACTTGCCTTCTTTGCGGATTTTGATTTTTTCAAAATTTTGACTGCGTTTTTGGACTGCTGCTGTGGAAGCCCCGCCCACTTGTGCAGCGCGCGTTGCTTCACCCACTTTGAGAAGCCCCACCCACTTTTCAGTCATTGGTGTAAATCGGCAGTATAGGGTCTTGGCTTTCATGCTAGGGTCTCGTTCGTCACTCGGTACAAAAAATCAGGCAAAGTTTGTTCCGAATGATCAGCAATACCCTAGCATGCCACGAGACTCCTAGTACGGCGATTTACACCTCGTTGAAAGTGGGCAGGGCTTCTCTAAGTTGCGGCCAGCCTCTCATAGTGGGCGGGGCTTCACGCAGCAGTCCAAAAATGCAAAAATTTTGAAAAAATATCAAAATTCCGCAAAAAGCAAGTGGGCGTGGCCGGGGGGGCCCGCATAGTGTCAATGCGTGATTTGGCTTGATGAATGCGCGCAATAAGTGTGTGAATTAGATTCGCAAAGGTGGGTCGAATATTGGTTCGAAAACGGCTGTGAATCTTGGTTTGAAAACGGTTATTTCAAAGGTGAAAATGTTTTATAAATAGTCAGTAAGAACTCCTAGATGACTGAATAGTATACCTCAAACAGACTCATGCGTATCGACCTTGCCAAAAGCTAAAAAACGTTTGCTTGCATGGACAAAAATCACCTAATTCGAAGTTGGCGCCCTTTCACCACCTCTTGACGTAGAAGCGCCACCGTGCATGGCGTACTCGGACGAAATCGCATCGATAATACGCTAAATGATGCTTCACTTAAGTTCACAGTAAAATATGCTCGATGGCATACTAAAGTTCGCCAAAGTTTATCCTCACAACTGCACAGAAGGAGTCGAGCTTTCGTGCCATCTAAAATATCTCCTGAACTAGCAGGCATCCAGGAGAACTGTAGTATAATTCCTGTGATGAGGAAATATTGACGATCTAATGGCTTTTTTAGTTACTGCATTCGTAGCAAGGTAATCGCGTATGAAGCATAAAAACCAGCCCGCGATTTACCCCTAACCCATCCGAAATATTTCATGAACGGGGGAAGATACAGATTGCTGGTAGGTAGAAATCGGAACAGTACAGAGATGAAAGTGACATGTTGCCTTCCATTCTCCAAGAAGCCTTCTCTTGAAAAAGTGAATAAGCTCGGAAAGATTTTCCCCTCGTCAACAGTCGACGCTCCAGCGCCATTTTGTGCTCTGATCGTAGAGCGGGCCACGTCCAAGGGCTACTCTCTTTCCTTGAGAGCTTTATGCGCAAAGAATGGTTGATTTTCCAGTTTTTCACAGTAGTATAGGTAAGTTTGGATTAATTTATATAACACTTGTATGTAATTAGTGTTCTTTTGTATTGTTTACGTGTTCATACCATAATTATGTGGCTTATTTATGTAATATCCGTTTTCATCTGTCCTTCTTGTCGTTCGTAAGGGGGGGGGGGGTCGTACTGACACCACCATTTCACACATCACGATGCTGTACCCTGGTTGAGACAGTTCCACTGATCGCGTGGTCCGCGAAACGCCTCCGTGCGTGTGTACATAGCGTTGCCTGGAGCGTCGTAGGGTGATTTCCCTGTGCTCTTGTTGGGAACTGGTTGCACGTCGAATCCTGCTAATTGGGCTTGCCGACGTCCGAAAACTCGTCCAAGGTGCCCACTGCTGAGGGGGTCTCTGTTCAGATCCCCACGGTTTTCTTTGCTACTTTCTCTAGTGGGGGTTACTAATGAGCTAGTGGTTCATGGCTGAGCATCTAGTACCCGCAACACTTAATCGCGGGAATTTCCTTCAATAAAGAAAACTAAGGTGCTGAGATCACAACAAGAAAGAAGCTAGAGAGTACTGGTTATTTCCTATGATCTGTAGACAGATTGGAATTCTTGAGAATGGAATTAGCCCGAACAACACCACCCCTCTCCTTTATGCAAGTGGACTTTTCATGCAGCCATTCTTTTAGGCTCAACAGCTGACCTGTTGAACACTAGTTTGAAACACTCACAAAAGAACCAGTTCTACCGATTCCTGCAGAACAATGAACCACGATCGGCGTTTTTGACTTCCTTGTCTGATGCAGTATCCGGAACACTGCTAACAATGACTTTGGTACAGTTTTATCTGGCCTGAAAACGCGATCAAATAGACTACACGTACAACTCCTTGAGAAACCGTAAAATTTACCATGTTTTCCATCGATGATGTTTCAAATAATGCTTTTGTGAACCTTGCTTAAGCTCAAGAGTAGCACGAGTTACGTGTGGGTCCGAGTTGTTCACCCTTATTGAAGTAATAGAAAAACCTGCAACAGTAGTATAGGCCATCCCATTCAAAAGTGCCAGGGGCGCTCGCATACTATTAGGTTGTCCGGAAAGTTCTCAGCGTTTTGTGCACCTATTTTTTGTACATTCACTGCTGATTAAAAACTCATTCTGCCTTGCTTCTCAGTAGCACATCCTGTAGAGAATTTCTTGCGCTATCTGATGGTATAATTGCCGTTTCACCATTGCTTGATAAACCCCCTTTTTTCAAGACTTTTTGAAGCATGTGAAAAGAGCACTTCGGACGATTTTTTTCTTCGACTATAAATTGGGGCAATCCGCAATCGAAACAGCTCAACAAATTAACCAGGTGTGGGGGCCCAATAGTGCTAGAGAAAGCACTGTGCGGCAATGGCTCAACAAATTTCGTTCTGGAGATTTTAGCCTTGAAGATGAACCTCATAGCGGTCGACCTAAAGCAATACCTGACGAGGATTTGAAGGCGTTTGTGGAGGCTGACCCATCCCAAACAGTTCGAGAGATTGCAGAAAAGCTAGGCGTTGGCAAATCCACTGTTGCGGATGGTCTGGAACGCATTGGGAAGGTGAAAAAACTCGACAATCGGGTGCCCCACAATCGGAGTGACCGGCAGGAATCGGCACGTCTCGAGGTTCCTTCTGCATTGCTTTTGCGCAGCAGAAACGACCTGTTTTTGGGCCGAATTGTCACCTGTGATGAAAAATGGGTCATGTATGATAACAGGAGACGTTCCGGACAGTGGTTGGATTTCGACGAACCACCGAGGTAATTTTTAAAGCCGAACCCTCACGAAAAAAAAAAGATTTCTGGTCACGTTTGGTGGTCATCGGCTGGTGTGATCCACTATAAACTTTTTTACACCAGGCCCAGCAGACCATCACAGCAGAACCCTACTGTGAAGAAATCGACGAATTGTACCGAAAATTTTGTCAGATGCAGCCAACACTTATCAAAAGAAAGGGTCCGATTCCTTTGCATGACAACGCCCGCCCACACGTTTCACAAATCACTATCCATAAATTGAACGAATTGGGGGTTGAAGTTCTACCTCACCCGCCATATTCTCCAGACCTTTCACCAACGACTATCACCTTTTCTAACATTTTCAGAACTCCCTTGCTGGAAAATACTTCATCAATCAGGACCAGGCAAAAAAGCCTTAGTGGATTTCGTGAATTTTCGACCACCCAGTTTTTTACTTTGATGGGATTTCTCAACTGCTGTCACATTGGCAAAAGTGTGCTGATTCGAATGGTGCCTATTTCGATTAAATCCGATGAGTATTAAAAAGTTACGATCGTTTAAAGTGAAACACCCAAAACGCTGAGAACTTTCCGGACAACCTAATATTTGGAGGCTAGTACTTCAGCTATATTCGAAATCCCTGAGATCGGGTAGGCGTGGCCGCATGTTTCAACTTAACCTGAAGTTATTTATGCTTCTTGTGAGATATTTTCATCTTGACACATGTTGTCGTGTCTCTGTCAATACAAACAAGATGGCCCAGTTTGTCCCAGACTGAAATATTCCAAAAAAGGAGTAACAGTTCTGTGCCATGTTCAGATGCCACGCCCACTCTAGCTCAGGGATAAGGAGTACATGTATCTGTGAAATTTGGTGAATCTATAAACAGAAGAAGTTCTCGAGAAATTGAAAAGAAGCCTGAGTGGTGAAAATCAGGGCCGGACTTTCAAATCAGGCGTCATAAGAGGGAAGTGCGCCGCTCAAATTGGCCTGCTCCGGACCAATAAGTGGTATAAGGGTGATCTCGAATATGACAAGGTGGAAAAGTTTGCGCGTTTCAGAAGCCCGAAGGAGCGAAGAAAAGCGAAAAATTCGTTCGTCGTGGGGTGCGCTCCCATAATACATACGTCATCCCGGCCGGGCCGGCATAATAAAAACGCACCCGGCCTTAGATGAAATATGGGTGGTCTCGGACCTCGAGCCAAAACTCACAATCGTCAATTTTGTATGAATGCAGATGAGAAGCCGCCCGAGTTCTACCATGAAGGAGTTACGTGGGCGCAAGTGGATGATCATCATAGCAAAGGATTCCCACACTGTGGCTTTCAAGCGGCTCTATACAGAGAACAAATCCGTCACTGTCGGTGCATATTGCCTGTTCTTCGATCAATCACGTTCGCGACAACATGGATAGGCTTATCGCACAACTACAAGAATGGCCATTTTTTGCTCGTCATAAGTGCCAGATCCCTTAGCAACTGTGTATAGGGCACCTGCTGGACACAAACAATACTGAGACCTGGGTTCGATCTCTCCATTCGTGCAACGTAAGAGCCGTTCGATTTCAACTGTTCTCGTCAGTCGAATGTACTCCCCGACGGCAAACGCTACAATGTTTTGTCATTCGCCGAAACTGGCATCAACAGCAATTTACTACCTGGTGATGAGAAACCGAAGGCTACCAGAGGTCGAACGCTTCCCGGGCCGGGGGAGCCGAGCGCATTGGTGAAGGAGGGATCTACTCACCTCGAAGCCAAAGTATTACTTTCCTATCTGTTTTCGTTTTATATGAATAAGATCATCGGCTTTTTTGAATGGGATGACCTAATATTAGGTCTCAATAGCTATTCCTTTAAAGACAGCCCCGCGCTCAAGTAGTACATGGTCGTCCTTCCTTGTGCAAGTAGTACAGCCACCAAGCTAGAGATTGTCCCACTCTCGCAACTCCGCAGTGAGCGATTAGCGAGCTACAACCGCTGAAACTTCTAGTTCTAACGCCCGATCAGTTGGACCGCCTCACTTGTTAGATGTTCTCTTGGTGCGAGCGGTCGCTCAGGTTGTCTTTGTTGGGTGCGTCGGCAGGTACTCGGAAACCGCATGCCCTTTGCACTGGCCGCCGCTCCGTGTGCATAATGCATTCTACTCTCCCTTCATTACATTTTATTCAATTAGGGCATATAAATCCAACTCAACCACATTCGGGGTATTAAAATCAGGAGTGACGCAATTTTCGCGCTGCTGCCAAAAGCTCGACGCACATTCACTACACTAACAATGTAGCCGCTACCGTAACCCGAATTCGGCACACCGCGTTGATAATAAATTCCTTTTTCCTTCCAAGAGTTTTCCTCTGCGTTTTTGTTGTTTTCTTTTTGTATTCTTTTTTTTTTGCACTGGATGATATCAACTACTGCGAGATGTGATAGAGAGATTGTGAGCTAGGGGTTGAAGAGAGACAGAGACCCCAGGGAGCGTCGCTGACTGTGAGCGACCGTTTTGGTTATGTATGTTCTTGAGGACTCTTCTTGCTTCTTTTCTTCTTTGGGGAATTACCTATCAGCTACTGTTTCATAATTGGAAAGCAACTATCCATGACACTTTTATCGCGAGAGCTGTCTTTAAGGACAGAGTCGCGCATCATTACAACATGCAGAAGCAGTTGGGCACCACGTTGCCACAAGACGCAACCTTCTGAAAATATCTCGCTTCATTGTGGATCAACTTTTCTGATAATAACGCTCTACCATGCATCATCGCCTCGCCTTCCCCCCCCCCCTTCCCTCTCCTGTTAACCTTATAGCCCAACAAATATTCACTCTGAGCGCTTTCCATAGCCTTTTCATTCATCTTTCCTTTACTGGCTTGAGCACTCACTTCACCATCTACGCCATTTCATTGCTGGCGTCTCTCCCCTCCGCACCCAAAAAGAGGCGAATCACGGGCAGCAATAGGGGCGGCGTAGTGGGCGCAGTATGTGGGGCGAGCCCCACTTCGAGAGCCTTTGTGCTGATCTTCTTTGCTTTCATCCTGCTAAACAAAGCTGCCCAGCGTTGAGGCGAAGCCAAAACGGCTGACCGTCTCTCCCCCCCCCACCCACCACGATCAACCTGGACTATCCGTGGAGACGTCTGTCGTTTGGCCCGTATCCCACGTTCCGTTTCGACAACTTAACACTCGTTTTGATAGATTAGAGCGATAAACGTTCAAAAATTACACACGAAGATCTCAAATGCATCCTTGTAGGGTTTTTGGAATGAGCTTGCAGGAAGCCGTATTCATGTATCGACTTGATAGAGAATATAATTTCCCGCGATCGCGACACCGCTCAAAACTGCTCCCTTCGTCGGAACGAGCCCTGGCCACGCCTCCTTCCCCCTTCACAGGCAACCTTGTTTCGTGGAGCGGGTTTTTCAATAGCATTTAATTTTGCAGCAAGATCCCTCTACATTTCAGGTAACCACTGAAGACCTCTTTCCGAGAAGCGAGCGATATCTGTAAAAGTTCGCAGGAACTGCAATCGCTCACCATTAACCGTCATACTGGCACCATTATCCTCTGGCCAGTACTGTTCGCATTTCTTCTTTCCGCATTCCAGTATACTACAGAGCATTATTATGTGAGTCACCTTTTCTAACCATATCATTCGCCAAAAATCCACTATCGTAGTCGGCAGAGGACCCTGATATGGACGACTGAAGGAAAGTCAAGCGGCCAAGCCCGCAAAAAATTTAATTCGGCAGGGCACACATGACTGCAAAACTATGGCGCGCCATGTCTTCTTTTCTATTGTTACGTCTTCCCAAAACCTCAGAACGTATTTCCCCTTTTTTCCACTCAGTGAGAGAGCGCAGACAAGTAGACATGACGCAGCATTGTTGCATTGGCCCGTCGACTATGTTTGCCCCTTTCAAATCCAACAAACCTGTGTACATATGTAAGTGCAGATTAATGGATCTCCTCTTATATAGTTTGCATGGATATAATCAGAACCTTTTCCGTCATTCAACACTACCCGACTGTAATCGTTGCAAACCACGTCTGGAAGATTCATGTCAGGGAGTTTCCGTGGGAGACGATGTCAGCAGGCCTCATTTCACACTGATCGCCATGGGCGGAGAACACTTGCACCACATATGGAGCATGTCTCACTGAAGCTCTTCACGAGCGACGTGCTTGGAACTGTCTGAAACTGCTAACTACTACAATTGGGTCACTTTCTGATAGGTGGCCTTATAAGCTCTGCTGAGTGGAAGCAACGAGCAAAGTTCAGCTTGCTGAGGACGTTTGATGCTCCTGCGGAGCCGAACAGCGCTCATTGCGTCTACTTCATTAGTGCATCTGGAAAGAGGGTAACTGTGGAACTGACTCCGCCCACACGGTCAGCACGGCACGGGTACGGGCTGGGAGAGTCGCGTGGCAACGACAAGGATAGACATCCTTACAAGTGCGTACACCCCGACTTTTGCACCACGATTTGAGCGACCAAATAGGAAAGTGCTACAGTATGCCAAGCAACTCGTCGCGAAGTGGAATCATCTTCAGACGATATTATGCCGACAACCACGAGATCTACAGCAGCGAGATACGAGCATTGATGTGAAAATAGGTGAAGATGGAGAACGATTGCGAGTTGCACCATCCGCAGCGGCAGTTCGGGCCAGACGTCTCTCTCCTCCTTCACCCAATCGCGTGCTATCTGGCTGAATATGCGTTCCACCTGGGCACTCCGTATGTTGGACTCCTTGATACAGGGGGGATGTCCGTTGAAAAATGTCTCCGGTCGCCAGTGTTCTGCTTCCCAATGGTGTCCATGCAGTATGATTCTTTTGTTCTCATTGGCATACAGTCATGGTTCTTGCAACCGGTAAGGCGTTCGAGGGGAGCGTGTTTTGAGGCTCTGCCAGCACGACGTTTTCCACCATGTCATCTTGAGTCCGAAAAACTTGGCGAGAAGGGCTGTTTTCGCTGCGTTCTGACTGACGCCCCCGTCACACGCCCCATGGTGGGTCATGGCTATACATTTCTGTGATGAACCACAACAAGAACCAAACATCGCTGCTGTGTGCGAACGAGGGCAGAGGGGGGGGGGTCGCGGTTGACCTGGCGATTTTTTTCTGGTTATTGGTTTTTCCTGTTTCAGGTGTTTACCCTCTCCGCCCCCTGTTCGGCGGCAAACTTTGAGAAAAGTTGGAAAGGTTGTAGAAAGGAAGTCGTTTGAAGAGGAAACTGGGGGAGGGGGGAGTGGTATTCAGCGAATTTCAAACGAACGTCAGGACGTGCTCGAGCGTCAACTGCTCACGATGCTCAAAACAAACCGGTCCCCGCGCGCGACAACCTCGCGCGGCAACCCACCGTCAAGAACTTGGTAAGCAAAACGTGGGTTCAGATTTCACGCACATTTTTAACGTCATCATGGCACTGCATTAGCACAGGTGGAGCTTTTTATTCATTACCTATAGTCATGATCCCTGCAAACGATAGGGCGTGTTAACGGGCGTGAGCTGGATCGCAGAAAACAACCTTCACCCAATTGCTGCGGACTCAGGACGACATCATCGGTGGGAAAACCCTTTCTTGGCAGAGGTCCAACCCACGCCCCGGCACACGCCCTATCGCTTACGGGGATTATGTCTGCGATGGGGATAATAAATGCCTAAAGGTCGATAAAGTGACATAATGAAATACCTTTGTAGCGATTTTTAGGCGTGTTTTGATCGAAGGCATCCCTCTTGAACGGGTAGGAAACGTAAGGTTTCAGAAAGTCATTGTATTCTCTTATTAGACCATCAATACCCATTGAAAAGACCACCTCAAAAATTTTGTTAAATTTTGTTGGGCGTTAAACTGTATCTCGAACAAAGCAGTGACGTCCACTTACCCTTGCGAATCCCTCAAATGCAGCTGTCTGAGCCGCAGTAACTGGTGGTTGCTCTTTGGCCTGAAATCATTCATTTATTTGATCTCGACACTTTTTCATTCTTGAGAAGACAAGGAAGAAGGGAGCCATGGAAGGCACGACAACTAACAGTCTCCGCCCACATTACCGAGGTGAACATCCTTCTTAGGAAAACTATTCGAAAAAAATCCACATACGAACTATATCCAGCTGTGAAAAAAAGTATCTCACCGAGTACTCTGCTACTGTGACGTCGCGTCTCTTCTTTGCTTCGGCATCTGCTGAAACTGAACCTTGAAACCTGTAACTTCAAATTGCTCAAATTTCTGTCTTTAAAACATGAAAATACCCTCGCTTTCAAAATTCAGGCGGAATATTAGTGTCTCAGACAGCCTCAACCTGGCATGGGGTGTAACGCTTTCAGTCGGTCAATGCGGAAAGTACCACATTAAAGCTTGAGAATCCACGCGTAGTCAAGCCACATGCCGAAAACAGTAACAGCTATGAGCCTCATCCCCAGCGAACCTTGCGGAACTACCGACAGGGAAGCATTGGTTGGGACCACCCGGGAGGCCGAGAATCTCAGGGGCCGTCGGAGAAACAAGTGGTCCAGGGCTAGGACGCCTTTCAACGCACAGACCCTCATCGAAAGCCCACATCAAAGATCTGGTGATGCAAGCCAGAAAAGCAAGCACGACGTCATCGAATTGACCGGGACTGGAACATGTTGCATGCTCCGACTACAAAACTGGAGGGAAATTGTTCCTCGGAACATGCGAGGCGTTGGCAGTGTCGGTGTCACTTGGCTACGAACATCGATTTGTAAGAAAACCTGCCGACCCGAATTTGCGATGAAGATGTAGTCCGACTGCGGCTTTGACAGTCTTCCTCGCCTACGCACCAACATCAAGCTACGACGAGGATGAGCTCGAAGCGTTCTATATGGAATTGGAGAAGTTCTACAAGGAAGATCACACCTTCTTCAAGGTCATCGTCGGCGATTTCAACGCTAGAATCGGCCTCAGAAGAAGGGCTGCACTTCTCACTGGAACTCACGGGGAGTGGAATGAGCAGGGTAAAAGGCTGTCTGAGTTTACTATATCGACCCCTATCATCCATGGTTACCCGCAGTTCCAGAAAACCTACTCTTTGGACATGGGCATCTCCTCGTGGACAATTCCTATAATGAGATCGACCGCATCATCTTCAATCGAAGATTTTGCCTGACTAACATCACTGCTGTTCGTAGCGGTGTCGGTTAGGCGAAACTGTCAATTCTTGTAGTCTACAGGATAGGACCATCATCTCCTATTCCGCGTTTCAATGCGAGGAGAGAGAACCGAA